TGATCCAAGATGGAAAGAGGCTATGAATGAGGAAATGAAAGCAAAGACTTGGGAATTAGTGGATCTACCAGAAGGGAAGAGCACTGTAGGATGTAAGTGGGTGTTCATTGTAAAGCATAGGGAGGATGGGTTCATTGAAAGATTCAAGGCCAGACTTGTGGCAAAGGGGTTTACTCAAAAGGAAGGGATTGACTACAAAGAGACCTTTGCTCCAGTCGCGAAGCTTAACACAATCCGGGTCTTATTGTCATTGGCTGCAAATTTCTCATGGGAGCTACATCAGTTGGATGTAAAAAATGCTTTTCTAAATGGTGATCTACGTGAAGAAGTATTTATGGATCCTCCACCATGTTATGGCTTTGATGGGAAAGTATGTAAACTGAGGAAAGCATTATATGGTCTTAAGCAGTCTCCTTGGGCTTGGTTTGAGAGACTTTGTGGGGCCATGAAAAGAATGGGATACACTCAAAGTGGTGCAGATCATACTTTGTTCATAAGGAAACAAAATAGCCAACTTACGGTGTTAATTGTCTATGTGGATGATATGGTGATTACAGGGGACAATCTAGAAGAGATAAAAAGATTAAAGGAGTTCTTGGCTTCTGAGTTTGAGATCAGACTTGGGCCATCTAAGATACTTCCTTGGAATTGAAGTTGCTAGATCAAAAGAGGGCATCTATATATGTCAACGGAAGTATGTTCTTGACCTACTAAAGGAGACAGGTATGATGGGGTGCAGGCAAGCAGATACTCCAATAGAGAAGAACCATAGTCCACAGGAATCAGTTGGAGAGGACTAATTTGATAAAGAAAGATACCAAAAACTGGTTGGCAAGTTGATATATCTGTCTCACTCGATCGGATATTGCTTATGCTATACATGTTGTCAGCCAATCCATGCACTCTCCAAAGATTCCTCATATGAGAGCAGTGGAAAGAATTCTCAGGTACTTGAAGACTTGCCCAGGAAAAGGAATTTTGTTCAAAAAACACAACAAAATTGAAATTGAAGCATATACTGATGCAGATTGGGCTGGTTCTATTGGGGACAGGAGGTCTACTTCTGGGTATTGCACRTTTGTTGGAGGAAATCTGGTTACATGGCGAAGTAAAAAGCAGAATGTGGTTGCCAAATCGAGTGCAAAGGCTGAATATCAATCTATGGCCCATGGTGTTGCAAAACTGCTATGGCTTAGAACCCTTCTTGGTGAGCTCGGGGTACAAGTCGAGTGTCCTCTCAGGCTGTACTGTGGCAACAAGGCTGCTATCAACATTGCAAATAATCCAGTGCAACATGATAGGACGAAGCACATTGAGATTGACCGGCACTTCGTTAGAGAAAGAATTGTCTCAGGAGAACTCCGCATTCCTTATACTCCTTCTGAGATGCAGATTGCAGATGTGTTAACTAAAGGACTAGCTTCAACGAAGTTCTCAGACTTACTTGGCAAGCTAAATATGATTGACATCCATGCTTAGCTTGAGGGGGAGTGTTGGTTCGGCTGTTATTAGTGTTTAAGTTGGTCTTAGTTGTGCCTTATGCTCTTAGTTATTGGGCCTTTAGTTATTGGGCCCAAACCTCTTAGTTATTGGGCATTCTAGTTTGTTCATGTAATATTATTTTATAATCTTCTATATAAACTTGTTGGGTCGGCAGAAGAGATTATGCCGCCTCTTATATTTTCTTCTCTTCTTCTTCTTTTCCCTCTTCTTTGACTGTTGTAATCCAGAAAACATTAGTTCCTTTTTATAGTCATCCTTCTAAAGAGGAGAGATCTCTCGAGTTGTTTTCCTCATCCCTTCCTTTACCAACTCCAATTGAGTCTTGTGTCAAGCCCTCCACAATTACCCCCATTCCCATGGAGGGATCCTCTCCTTTGAGGCCTTCCTACTAGTCCTCTAGTTGTTTCCGCTCATCCTATTCTCCAAAGGTGGTACTAGCGGCAAAGGCTAAGGCAAACACAGGTCTATCACACACCTCCAGTTGAGACTCAGGCATTCTTGATTACTGAAGAGAGGACATGTTCATCACCTCCTCCACCATCACCCTTGTTTCCAAACCTTAACCTACCCATTGCTTTGGGAAAAGGTAAGAGGAAATGTACAGCTCATTATATTTCCAAACACCTTTTCTACAGCTTGTTGTCTCCATCCTACTATGCCTTTCTAGCCTCCATTTCCTCTCAATCCATTCCAAAGTCTGTTTCAGAAGTCTAATCCACACCAGATTGGAGGGATGCTATGAGTACTGAAATAGAAGCCCTTCATAAAAACAATACCTGGGATATTGTTGACTTTCTAATTGGGAAGGAACCTGTTGGGTGCAAGTGGGTTTTCACTATCAAGTATCGTGCAGATGGGTCAATTGAGAGGTATAAGGCTCGACTTGTTGCCAAGGGATATACCTAGGTGTAAGGGATTGATTACACTGAGACCTTTCTCCAGTTGCTAAGATGACTTCGGTGAGAGTTCTTTTATCCTTAGTTGTGAGCTATGATTGACCTTTGTAACAATTTGATGTTAAGAATGCATTTTTTAATGGTGATCTCACTAAAGAGGTATATATGTCCCTTCCTCCTGGTATATATGGCAAGGAAATGCCGGGTAAGGTGTGTAAATTGAAGAAATCACTTTATGGCTTGAAACAATCTCCATGTGCCTGGTTTGACAGGTTTAGGACTGCTCTGGTTCAGTTCGGCTACACTCAAACTCAATCAAATCATTCCCTCTTTGTTAAGAGAAAAGGCACTTTGGTGACATTCCTTATAGTTTATGTAGATGATATTGTGGTTACTAGCAGTGATACAGAAGAAGTTAGTGCTCTCAAGAAGTTTCTTAGTTCTAAATCTGAATTTAAAGATTTAGGGGAGTTGCGGTATTTTATGGGCATTGAGGTTGCTAGGTCCAAGGAAGGTATCTTTATTTCTCAATGAAAGTATGTGCTAGACCTTCTTATCGAGATTGGAAAACTTGGTGTTAAGCCTGCCTTTACCCCTATTGATGTGAATCATAAACTCTCAGTTAATGATGGAGAACTTTTAGTTGACAGGGGAGTGTTTTAGAGATTGCTGGGGAAACTTCTTTATCTATATATGACTTGTCCAGACATTTCATATGTTGTGAGTGTCATCGACCATTTCATGCATGCTCCTAGAGACACACATATGGCTGTTGCAAAAAGGGTGTTTTGCTACCTTAAGAGAACCCTAGGAAGGGTATATTATTTGCTAAACATGGACGCATGAAGGTAGAAGCATACATATGCTGATTGGGGAGGAAATGTGGATGACAGGAGATCCACATCAGGATATTGTGTTATGGTGGTTGGAAATATTGTTTCTTAGAAAAGCAAAAAGCAGTCAGTGATTGCTAGATCTTCAGCTGAGGTAGAGTATAGAGATATGGCCCATGGTGTTTCTAAGTTGTTACGGCTTAGATCTCTCCTTAATGAGATGGGTGTTTCATGTGACAAGCCACTTATGTTGTATTGTGATAACCAAGCTGCTATTAACATTGCTCACCATCCAATTCAGCATGATAGAACTAAGCACATTGAGGTAGACAGGGGAGAGTGGCTTCTGGAGAGGTGTGCCTACCTTTCATTGCATCAGAAGAGCAGCTAGCAAATTTTCTAACTAAGAGAGTCCCAAAGGCAATGCTTCAACATTACGTAAGCAAGCTAAGCATGATTGACATCTATGCTCAGCTTGAGGGGGAGAATAAGCCGAATGGGCCCTAGTGTTCTTTATTTCCTTTAAGTAGTGTTTGAAAGTTATGTTTCTTAGTTATGGGTCTTATGGGCCTTCTTTTCTTCTTCCACAACCTATTGCTGAAACTTTTTTCTTCTTCTTTCTCTTTCTCTTTCTCTCTTTTCTTTTTTTTTTTTTTTTTTTTGCATTACATGAATTACTGTAGGTATAATTTTCATCTGTATTAGCCATTGAAATGGCTTATTGTTGAATTTTCCTATTAAGCATGTGAATATTAATCAAAGTCCACATCTCATTTCTATATGCTCTCTGAATCAATCTGTATGCTTGAGGGATATAAACATGGCTATGTTATGGAAGTGGTATTGGAGGTTTAATAAGAATCAGAACAGCTTATGGAGTAGGGTTATTAAAGAAAAATATGGGTGTAGAGACATAGGATGGGATCCAGGTGATGTATGATAGCCTTGTGGTTGCACAGTGTGGAAAGAATTGAGAATTTACAGAAAATAGTCTGAAGTATGTAGTAGGAAATAGGCAAAAATTCAGATTGTGGAGGACATATCTTCAGACCTGTTTGAGTTGGATGCTAACAAGGAAACCAAGGTCGCAGACTGTTTCCAAGCACAGAACAATAATATTATTTGGAGCCCATCTTCAGAAGAAATTTGAACAATTGCGAGTTGAATCCTTTGATGGAACTGTTGCAGAAATTATACAATTCTCAGGTGAACTTTAACAGGGATAATAAGAATTTGGGTTTGGGGGAAGTGTGGTCTTTTCTCTGTTAAATCCTTCTATAGCATTATGACCAGATGTAGAGGGGGAGTTCTCTGGAACAAAAATATGGTGTGCAGTTGTCTCACCAAAGTACCCTTCTTTGTATGGTCAGCTACTTTAAATAAAGTTCTTACTACAGACAACTTGATTGGGCTTTATAGAAGGAAAACAAGTATGCAACCGGTTACATGTCTATGAATATCTGTAGGCCTCATTTTACACATCTAAATTTCTAAACATATACAATCATTTTTAATAATTCAATATAATGTAAAAATCCAATATCCCAAAGATTTTGAAATAAGGAAACAAGTACAACACTAAGCAGATAAGACTATAAAAACAAGGCATATCACTGCCTTAGAAATTAGCATCCAAGCATGTCATTGTATTAGTGTTATACCATGATTTATCAGTAGTTTTCTTTATAAGAACCTTTTAATTTTCAAGTCATATATGTGTGATTAATATTAGGCTATATATATTTTGGTTCAACTTCATTGCCCACAGGAAGATATTGGCCAAAAGTTGCAGAAGAGCGCAGGAAAAGACCATATTCTGTAACTCTTGCTGACAAAAATGCACCAAATGAAGAGGTCTGGAGGCAGGTAAGCTTTAACTCTCTCCCTATAGGCTTTGCTTGTTTCAATGTCAAGGGAAAGGAAAGCCACTCTGAAATTCACTTACTATTTACCCTTTTTGGAGGTTGAATTTTGTTTCCCTTTTACATCTAAATAAACACAACCATGAGATTCATTCTGATAGATGCTTCCTAAAATTGCAGATTGAGGACATGTGTCAAAGCACAAGGGCCTCTGCTGTTCCGATTATTCCTGATTCTGAAGGTTGTCACCTTATTATGCCCCTGGAAGTGCAAGTTTTGTATTGAGTCTGCTTTTCCTGGAACAGCAATTTACTACAGTTAGATTGACTCCTTTGTTAGTATTTGCTTGAGGGAAGATATCAACTAAAAGATTGGAATAATCAAACCAGTGGGGAAGAAGTTCCTCGCTATAGTTCATAGTTACTACTACAGTCAGTCTTTGAAATTGCTTTCTAGATTTAGCAGTTAACCTTACAGGTTTCAGAAGCTCACAGAAGTAGATCACATGAAGTAGGTAGTTAAGGCACAAATAGATTTAAATTCATCATGAAGTCCTCAGTATTAGAGAACTGTGACTGCACATCAGATTTTACTCTACTAGCAGATTCCATCTAATTAGATGTACTGTGATAGTCTCATTACAGTTATGTTGCCTATGCAGCACCAAGTTATTGGAAGCTTGATTTTCATGGGATCCACATGCAAGTTTCCATTGGCAATGTCCATACAATTGTCAATCAGAGAATGTTTTCAGATTGAATAATCTTATGTAGTTTCAATTGAAGAGAGTAGTTGCAGAAGAAGAAGAGAAGTAGAGATGAAAACAAGTTGTGGGGCTCAACTGAGGCTCCTATTCCTTTTATACTTCAAGTAATGACAAACAGAATTACAAGTCTACTCCTCAAGCTGAGGATATATGTCAATCATGCCCAGCTTGCCAAGTGTAAATTGCAGGGCTGCTTTGGGAATTCCTTTCATTAACATATCTGCCCACTACCGGTACGTCTTCACAGGAGAAATGAACACATCACCAAGTATCACCTTTTCTCATATAAAGTGTTTATCCACTTTTCAATGTGCTTTGGTTCTATCATGCTGAATAGAACAGGGTTATGTGCAATATTAATGGCATCCTTATTGTCACAATACAGTAATAAAGGCATTTGCACAGCTCTACCCAACTCTGGTAAAGATATCAACCATAGAGCCTTGGATAGACCATGTGCCATAGCCCGATACTTTGCCTTAGCATCAGTCCTTGCCACCATATTTTGTTGTTTACACTTCCAAGACGCCATATTTCCACCAACAAAAGTACAATACCCTGAGGTAGATCTCTTATCATCCAGAGACCCAACCCAATCTGCACCAATATAGATTTTCACCTTTATATGATCATGCTTCCTGTATAGGATACCCTTACCTGGACTACACTTTAGGTAAGAAAAATTCTGAATCACTACATCATATGTCATGTACATGGAGCATATATGTACTGACTTACTACATTGACAGCATAGGAAATATTTGGCCAGGTTATGCAAAGATAATCTCCTTGCTAGTCTCTAATACATGGAATGATCCTCTGGAATCTCCCCCTCAATAACACATATTTTATGACCAGGATCAATAGGAGTATTTATAGGTTTAACTCCTAGATTTTTGTATCTCTAAGCAAACCCAACACTGAACACATGCTTACTCTAGGATATGTAAATACCATGCTTAGACCTAGCTACCTCAATACCAAGGAACCTAAACTCTCCAAGGTCCTTAATTTCAAATTCTGAGGCCCAAAACTGCTTGAAGGGTGCAATACCCTCTGTATCATCGCCTATCACTACAATGTTTTCAACATACACAATAAGAAAGGTGATCAGTTGGCCACTCCTCTTCATAAATAAAGTATGTTCTGATTGGGACTGCACAAAACCAATATTTTGCAGTGCTTTCCTAAATCAGGCAAACCAAACACAGGGTGACTGCTTCAAGCCATATAATGCCTTCTTAAGCTTGTAAAACCATACTATCCTGTTCCTTTGTGAAAAAACCTGCAATAGTAACCAATCAAACTGTATGACCAAAGATAGCAAGGCATGAAAAGATGGCATCTTTGCAACAGGAGAGAAAGTCTCCTCGTATTCTACTCTGGCATCATTGATGGCATCTGTGTGTATCCTTTTACTACTTACTTGGCCTTGTATCTTTCAATACTACCATATGACCTGTACTTCACTATAAAACCCACTTATAGCCAACTGGAGTCTTTCCCTTAGGCAGATCAACAACCTCTCACTCCTTATTCCTCATCAGAGCATCCATTTCGTCATGCATAACTTCTCTTCACTCAAGTATTTCCATAGCCTTAGCCACTGACCTAGGAATAGGAATAAAAGAATTGGAAGCCAAAAAGGAATCCAGGAGGCAAATGGTCATTAGAGAGGTAAGAAGACAAACTATGAGCAGTAGAAGAAGATAATGCATGCCTTTTCCCTTTATAGGAAGGTCAATGTCAGAAAAATGAGCAATAACAACATTTCGAGTAATATCATCAGTAACAACATTAGAAGCAAGGGTCATACTAGTACTTGGGCCACCAGTACCTATACTAACTTGAGGAGGTGGTAATGTGATTGAAGTGTCAAGTGGATCACCGTTCTCAAATCTTACCTGAAATGGCTGCAATGAGATGGGAGTAGACATACCTTTCCTTTTCTTAGTAGGAAAGGGTATATTGAGACTATTAAGACCACTCTCACTCCTCTTTCCCCCTAGGAATAATGAGTAGATTCAAAAAAGGATACATCCATAGACACTAGGGATGCAACTTGGGTGAGCTAGGTTTGGGCTTTTGTCAAAATTCAAATGGGCCTAGCCTGAAGGCCCAAGCAGGAGGTAGTGTAAAATGCTAACTTAGGCCAACCCGAGTTGCACCCCTATTAGGTACATATCTATTTCTAGTTACATGGTCATAGCAATAGTATTATTTTTTTATTAATGCATTTCACAACCTTGGGATCAAACTTCGACTTGAGGTGACTAAGAATATGAACAAAACGTGTGTAGCCAAAAACACATAGAGGAACACCAAAATGGTCATCATTGGGATATAAGAGGCTGAAAGGAGTTTTAAACCTCAGAATTTGAGAGGGAATTCTATTTATGAGAAATACAGCTGTATGGACTGCATCCCCCCCAATGATGAATGGGAGCACTGAAACTATAAAACATGGATTCAGACCTGCAAAAGTGAAGAAGAAAAGAAGTGAAGAGAAGAAGAAGAAGAAGAAGAAGAAGAAGAAGAGAAAGAGACAACCAAGTGTGAGAGAAAACTCCAATAATGTAGTTCTAGTGGAACCCACTTCTTTTATTATATTATTAGGGTGACATAATATATAAGAAAGGACATAAATGCCCTTGTGCCTACATATTCAAACACTTCAACAATCCCCCTCAAGTTGGGTCGTAGAGGTCAATCATTTCCAACATGTTACATAAGTCATTTTGGCACAGAGAATTCACACCTTTAGTAAGAAAATTAGCTAATTGGTCTTTAGAGCTTACATAGGGGTATACACTTCTTCCTTTTCAATCCTCTTATAAAATTTTTTGTCGATATCTATGTGCTTTGTCCTATCATGTAAAACAAGAATTTGCAGCTATATAGCTGTCTTGTTATCATAGTAGAGAGCCATAGGTCCTTCCACATTAAACCCCAACTCTTCAAGCAGGTTCTTGATCCACAACACCTTGGATACACTATGTGCCTTGACACGATACTCAGCTTCAACACCATATCTGGCCACAATACTGTTTTTTTCTTCTCCATGTCACTAAGTTACCCCCAACAAAAGTACAATATCTTGAGGTAGACATACAATCATACGCGGATCTGGCCCAATCTGCATTAGTGTGAACTTCAACTTTCATATTCCTAGATGTTTCTTCAACTACCAAAGAACCCTTTCTACTACCAAGAGATGGGTTCTTTTTGGGGCATGCATATGTTGGCTTACAACACTTACAACATGGACAATATCTGGCCTAGGCATGGACAAGTATAAAACCTTCTAACCATTCATTGGTACTGCTTAATATCTAAAAGAGCTTCCCCATCACTATCTCCCAACTTATGATTTTGTTCAATGGGGGTGTCAGCTAGCTTGGCTCCCAACATACCAGAATCCTACAGTAGATCTAGGATATACTTCCTTTGGGAGATTAAGATGCCTTCATTGGAGTGGGAAACCTCAATTCTAGAAAGTACCAGGAAGAGCCCAAATCCTTCAAATCAAACTAAGAAGCCAAAAATTTCTTCAGCTTCATTGTCTCTAACTCCCAATTGCTAGTGATGATCTAATTGGCAATGCTTGAAGCCCATCTGTTGGACAACTCTATTAAATCTACTAAACCAATCTCTAGGAGATTGCTTCAGCCTGTACAAGGACTTCTTCATTTACAAACCTTTTGTTCATTTCCTTATACACAAAATCCTGGAGGTTGAATCTTGTATACCTCTTCCTCCAAGTCCTTGTTCAAGAATGCATTTTTAACATCAAGTTGATGAAAATCCCAATTAAGTTTGGGGGTTAGGGATAAGAGAACTCTTATTTAATTCAGTTTCAACTGGGGCAAACATTTTAGCATAATCCACCCTGTAAACTTGTCTGAATCTTTTTGCTACCTACCAGCCTTGCCTTGTATCTCTCCTTTAAACCATCTGTGCATGCTTAACTGTGAATACCCACTTACACCCAACTAACTCTTTCTCATAAGGAAAATCAACTAACTCCCATGTTCCATTTTTGTAAGGGGACTAGATTTCCTCCCTCGTAACATTTGTCCATTCAGGTGAAACCAAGGCTTCTATGACATTCTTAGGAAAAGAGACATGGGAAATGGCTATAAGAAAAACACAAAAAGGAGACAAGTGGCTGCAAGAAGTAAAATGTGCGATTGAGTGTTTTGTGGTATATCAACAAACATCCTTATAGATAGCAATAGGAGCATCAAGGTCATCAATAGCAATAGGAACACCACTAGAAAAAACATTAGTGGGGATAGTCAACAGGAATGACAGTTCCTTGTGAATTTACCTCCTAAGATCTTGTTGGTTTTGGTTGCATGGTCTGGTTTTTCCAAATCTTGCAAGCTTCGATGGTCCCAATGGTGACAGAAACAGTCACGATAAGAGCCTGAGTAGGTCAAGAAGTAGGAACAGGAGTAGGAATAAATATAGGG